TCTCCTCGTCTCCCTCGAACGTAAAGTACAGAAGGAGCAAAATTGAGAAAAATTAGAGTAGAGAAACATAAAACGAAAGAGAGAGAGAGAGAGAGAGAGAAAGAGAAATGCCAACTCTCATGCGCGCTTAATTATTATCACGACGTGGTTTCCGATGAGTCGCGATACCAGGAGGAAAAAGTACCGGCGAAAACCCGTCGCGTCGATCATCGTGCTATCACTCTTGCCTTCCGCGATGAGATCCCCCGTGAAATCACCTTTATCACAATGTACGCGAGCGTGTTTAAATAATACAGACCGCTTATCGACCGTAATTATTTCTTCGGACGCGCTCCAATTTCCCCGAACCTGTTTCACCTCTTCACGGTCGCCGGTCGTGTGTAACATGCGCGACACGTAACGCGACGTCGACCTAGGAAACGAGCCGAGCGCGCCTCGTCTTCGTCGTTGAGAACGCCCGTCGAATCTTCCAGCGGCGCCGAATTATTTTTCGATCGTGCTTCGTTTTCGCGCCGGTCTCCTTGAGCCGTCGCGTAATCTTCCGTTCGGTTTAAAGTCTACCGGACGCACATTCGTGGCGGTTATCTAGCCCAGGGGTGTTCGTTATCGTGATTGTCAGATTGGTGAGATCCGGCTCGCGATCTGTGTGTGCGTGTGGGTGATCTATCGAGAGAATATATCGGTCAAACGCTCGATTTAGATTATCTGCTGGGATCGAGTGTGTCTCCTCTTTTAGATTACGGAATTACGTAGCCGGTCCCAACTTTCGGCCGCTGAAATTGCGCAAGAGAGAGAGAGAGAGAGAGATGCACGCTCGTCGTAAGGTTTTCCCCGCGGGATAAAAAGGCGCAGATGCAAATCGGGGAAGAGAGAGAGAGAGAGAGAGAGAGAGAGAGAGAGAAAAGAGGTTAAAGAGGAGAGGGAAAAGAAATGATCGATGCGCGAAACGCGACGAAACGTTTTTCGTGCGCTCCACAGATGCGAGACTAGTTTTTACGTATATTAGTAAATTCGTAAACCCTCGAAACGCGCGCGCGCGCTACGGGAAATATACGCGTGTGTCCGCGGGATGGTAAATATCTCGAGCACGCTTTAATAGCTCGAATTCGCGCGCGGGCGACGATAAAAAAATAAAGAGCGGCGTGATTTATATTGCCGAAAAAAATATTATTCCCGATCGTGAGAGATATCCTCGGCGGTGTGTGAAAAGTAATCGCGCGCGGCTCGTCTTGCGATCGTGCTGCGCGATACAGTATGATTGATCTGTTCAAATTTTTCGATATATCTGTGATCGATCGGGGCCCGCGCGCGATTATCGTTGCCGACGCTTTTTCGGCGATAACCGCGTCTCGATCGACCGGCGCGACAAGGCGCCCGTGCTCACGTCGTCGATATTTTTATTTCGTCCTGACTAATTACAACGAACTTTCCTGTACGCGAAACTCAGGTGCGCGCGCGTTCCGCCGAAGGAGTGACGGAGCGGAATCGGAAAAATTCCGGCAATTCTGCGAGATCGGTCGGAAACGATAGCGCGCGTGCACGCGTTAACGTTATTGGTCTCTCTGCGTTATCGCGTGATGCAACGAATGTCTACGTAAGAGAGAGAGAGAGAAAGAGAGAGAATGACGTTATAACACACGCACATATCCCGTGCAATGCATAATACATTAAAAATAACAACAGGAAAAATCTCTTCGATGGAGCATGATAATCAAATTTAATCGGATATGCGTGTCGCAATTCGCGGTTATCGGCCTTATCGGCCGCGTTTTTCGTGTGTATCTTATCAACCATTGTTTTCGAGTGCTTTATTTGCTCCGGGCGAGTAATTTTTACGACTTGGCCGTTAGCATGAAGTGAATAACTGAAAAGGAAAAAAAAGAGAAGCCAAGGAGGGAAAGGGGGAGGAGCGAAACGGGCGGATAAAATATTCCCCGTCGAATCTGTTTGTCGTCCCGTTCGAAACGCACCGAACACACGTCGCTTCTCTCTCGCGCCGAAAGATTTACCATTACTTTTACGGCTGAAAACGAAACCTGTTACCGCCGTATGTGCAACCGGTTTTGCGAGAAAAATATTTTTTCCAGCGCACGTAAAGCGTACACGCGCGAGTATCGGCGCGAGGCGTTTTCAGCTCTTAGCGATGCAAAAATCGCCATCGGCGAAACCTCGCGATCTCTTCGAAACGCGCGCGATAGCCACCAGATATTTTCGAAAACGAGTCTCTCTCTCTCTCTCTCTCTCTCTCTCTCTCTATATATATATATATATATATATATCTTGATAAGAATCCGTGTCTCTCCCTCGCGCGCTTCTCCGCTCGGATTGGGCGATCGCGAACCACCGATTTGTCCCGGTTACGTCACTGATGACCTTGATCGCCCACTGATTGATAAATCATTTCGAGCACTTGATCATTGTCGATCAGTATTCAGTATGCTCGCACTAAAGCACTGATCAAGACGAAATTAGATCTCGCCGAGCGATTATCGGGATTCTCGCAGCTTTTCCTTCCGTTGTGGGTAAGTCTCATCTTCTCGTGCGCCTCCTCTGTGCTTTTCCGACACAAATGCGTTACGCGAACGCTTCGTCCCCACGCGAAGAAGTCTCGCTGAAATCGGAAAGGAAAAGCAAGAATGTCCGTGATGCCCGAAATTCAGAGAAGTTCACGCCGCGATGTCCGAAGATATTCTGTGTGGCCCGAAGAGAATAAAGTCGTCTCCTTCGTTTTACGACTTCGTTAAATCTCTCATTTCTACGCGAACTCGGCGCGAAAATGAAGGAATTCTCGCGATTTCGCGCGAGAGAAAGGTGATCCGCAGTGTGACACGATCCGTTTCCTTTTTTATTTTCCCCTCGCTCCCGATTTACTTCCCGGTTATCGAGCGAAACGACGATGACACGCGCGTGTGTATAACATCTGCACGCACGAGAAGGAAGGAGAGAAACGGGAACGTCACATCGTTTCGTTCGCGGATCGATCGCGCGCGAGAGAGCCGACCGGGGCTGCTCCTCTTCGCCGTCGTCCTGCGTTTTCGCGGGGAAGAGGGACGGCTGAAAAACAGCCGGCGTATTATGCGGAGTGTTGCGCGCCGGGATGAAAGAATCATTGAAGCGTCTCGTGTTCCCAGCTCGGTATTAATTTACTCGTGCGTGCCCGCCGGATCATGACGCGCGCCGTCCTTCTCCTCTCGCGAGCCTCCGATACATCGGGAAGCCGGGCGAGGATAAAAGGAGGAGATGCGTTAAACCGGAGCGCGGCCTGTCTGTCGCCGCAAAGAGTCGTTCGCTGCAACAAAGTCGCGCGCGGAGTAGGAAAGAGATCGCGTTCAGAATTGGAGAGAACGTGAAAAGCCGTCGACGACGACTTTGTCGAAATGACGTATCGGTGTCGTGACGGACGACGACGTGCACGAGCGCAGCTATTGATCGATTAATTAATGCGCGCGCACGTGAAGCGTAATGACTTTCAGATCGGACAGCGTCTTATTAAAGGGGGGGGGGGGGGGTCCCCGCGTGCGCGAGCGTACTCGCGGTACTCCTGGTGGGTGATGTAATTAAAGCGCGCCGTGTCTAGCGCGTAACGAGCCTATGCAAATGGCGAAAATTATTTATCGCTAATAAAGTCGGCCAGGAAATTTTCCCAGCGTGCCGCCACAGCCTCGTGCATCGTACGCACATACACACGCGCGGCGAACGTCGTCGTCGTCGTGGGATCGCGTGGATCGGTCTAAACGCTCCAATTAACTTCTCCGTTCCGCGTTTGCATGTAACATCTGTCTGCCGCGTAAGGTGGTCTCGTAACTATTTTACAAGTTGGTGTAATACGTTGAAGAGATACGAGCGCGTCGTCGGGAGAGTTTAGGCTCTCGCCGGATATGGCGTCCTGACGGTCGTGCGTGTCATTACCGCGCGAAGTGCGTTCTACGCATCGTCAGCCTCGAGAACGACGGTCTTCCTTGATTCGCCGGTCGCCTCCTCGATGTTCCTCTTTGTGTGTATGTGTGTGTGTGTGTACGCGCGCGCGCGTTAGACGGCTCGATGATAAGGAACGAGGCGTGATTGTTCGTATACTGGGAGGGGGAGATTGTTGATCTCATTGCGCGTTATAGTCAGTTTTTCAAGCTAATCGTATTCTCTTGTTATTCTAACGACCAAGTAGTGACGAAAATTATATATGTGTACGCAAGATGTTACAAAATAGCGTTTACCGCAACGAAACAGGTTTCCGACTAGAATTATTTCGCGATGCAATTATAGCAATTATAGACCGGTATTCACAATCGGATCTTGAACTTGAGATCGTCTTGAGCTCATCTTCAGATATTGTACGGATCATTAGGTACAATGTGTCTGAAAATGAGCTTAAGACGAAACATTAACATTAACATTAAATCTTAAACATCGGATCTGACTGTGAACGCCGGCCGGGAAAGAAGAATGAAAAAGAAAGAAAAACTAGCCCTCGCACGGATAAAAATTAGCTGTCTATATAATACAACTGAAATTACTTAATTTAGCTGATTCGTTCGGTCCCTTTACTTCAAGTTTTCAGCTTCCACAGCTGAGGAAAACAAACTAGATACGGTAAATAAATTATCCGTTGTATTATATGGACAACTGATTCCACTTTTCCGTACGGCCACAAACACACCCCTTCTTCTCAGTATAGCGCTCGCTCAGAAAGTCCGTGTGGAACCCAACCGAACTAACCGTCGTCGTTTTCGACGTGTTTGTTGCAGGGCGGAGGCAGAAGAAGAAGAAGAAGTTACCTCTCGTGATCCGGCGATCAGACCAGGATTACCTATGATCCCGTTGGGCGTCGCGAGGACGACGACGCTCCCGGAAGAGAGGCGCTTTTGGCAGCGGTCCTAATCTCTTCCCCTGCCTTCCCGCGTTCTTCCTCTTTTATTCCGCCCTCCTTCCGTCCCTCTCTTTCTCTACCCCCCTCCGCCCCGCTCTTCTTCCACGAGCGACGACGCACCGAGATCTCGGGCAAGATGGACATGAGCAGCGAGTCGACCACCACTCGGTGGTACGAGCCGCCTAGGTCGCTGGAGCCGCCTTCGGGGGGTGCCGGGGTGGCCGGGGTAGTCGGCAACCCCAGCGACTACAGGGGTTACTACCCCCACGCCGGACCGACGGCGCACCACCCCGCGGCCGCACACTACGCCCACAGTAAGTGCACACACGCGTCTCGTTTTTCTCATTTCGTGCTTTTTCCCGTGTTTCTTCCTTTCTCGCCCCCCCTCGTCAATCTTCGCGCTCCCTTTCTCCGTTCTCTCGCTCGCACGCTGACCGCCCGTCTCTTTTTCACTGTCTGTTTTCCTCCCCCGTGCACGAGAGGGGGAGGTTCGCGTCGCGGTTCAACGACCGACCGGCCGGCCGCTCGCGGCCGATTTCTCCGCCAGGAGTCGACGGTGGAAGCGAGCGAGGACTCTCGGCCTGGAGAAGAAGAGGAAGGGCCTCCTTGCCTTTTTCAGCGGCGGATACCAGCGTGCGGCTATTAAGAGGATAATACGTGTAATCTGCGAGCTATTTTAGCCTTATCGATCGAAATCCGCCTTAGTGATTCCGATGCGCGGCAGAAGCTCTCGATTACAGCGCGACGCGGCGTGTCGCGAAGATTCGCGCCTGCTTGATACCTCACGATACGCCGATACGCGTCGGCAAGGGAAGGGGGGGACGTGTGCGGTGTAACAACACTCGAAAGTATATTTTATATCGCGACGCGCGAAAGCAACGCGACACGTACAACGTACCTGTTTGCGCGTGTGCGTGCATACACACACGCACACACATAACGATGTATCGGTGTGACTGAACATCGACCCCCCGCGAAAACGATCGGAGGGAGAATTTCGTCACCCTCGAGCCGATCCACGCGCATCATCCAGCAGCAGAGCCCCGCCTATAACCGCGTTTGCTTTCTTTCTTTCCTCCTTTTTTCTTTCTCGCGTGTTTCGCGACGCGGTTCAACGACCGCCGTGTACACTCACCCCGCGTTCGCTCGTTTACGGTTCTCTCATTAATTAGAATTTCTATATTTAATTAACGAGGCGCCTCCGAGGCTATCAGCGCCATCGAATGTCTCCCCTGTGATGCGTCGTCGCTATTTCGCCCCCTCCCCCCTCCCCCCCTGTTAGATGCCTGCCTCGATAATTAAATTTCTCCATCGCGGCTGGATAGGCACGCGTTCGTCCGCCCGTTCGTTCGTTCGTGCTCGCGCGTGCTCAACATTGCAACGCCACCGGGGAGAGACCCGAGAGTGTGACGGCCGTGGTGACGTGCCCCGTTGAGACGGTGTCTTAGCACGGGTGCGCTAATTCATCTTTGGGACGCGTTGCAGCCCAGGCCGCTCTCTTTCTCCCTCGAGCGCGCGCTCTCGAGCACGCAAACGCGTGTTTATGCGTGTCCACGTGCCGCCTCTCTCCGCCTTTTCTTCTTTCCACCTCCTCTTGTTTCACGAACACGAAGCTCTCCACTCTGCTCGCGCGTCCTCTCTCTTTCTCGATGGAAAAATAACTTTCCGTCTCGATCGTCAGCCCCCCTGCGACCGCGTGAACGACGAGACAAGAGGTCGGTCTTGAAGATGCCGCGAGTGCGAAAGATAAAGCGCGCAGGAAACGCGCGATTAGCTGCGCGCAAAAAAGGAAGTCGTCCTGCGGAGTAACTTAGGAAACGCTCGGTGGTTAGGCTCGAGCTTGAGACAACGGACAACGGCGAGAGGAAGTCGCGAGTAGGATGTCTCGAGGGAGGTTGCATCGGCGGGGGAGGCGGGGAGAAATTAATAGAAACAGGCACGCTGTGATTGATATTCGTGTAATAGAGACTATCGGTGAGCTTTTCTCTCTTCGTGGATCTTTTACATATGTGGAGAATTTTTTTTTATATGTTAACTCCTATGTGTCCTTAAAATCTGTCCGCTGGAACATTCAGTAATTCGTTAGTTAAAGTTAGTTCAAGTTGGTTATATGTGAAGGATGCCCAGCGAAAATCGCTTCATCAATCCTTCTCTCTTCCATTTATATATATATATATATATGCCTCGTTCTCTAAAACTTGAGCAATTCCACGCGATGAGATTTCACGGCGTCACGCAGCGAGGAAAAAGAGAGCGGCCGAGAGAGGTGCGCTAGGCCGATGGTGTGTACACTCGAGGTGTACGTAATCTCGATAGCCTCCTCGGTTCCTCGTCGTTGGCCAAGCATGAAAAAGCATAGCGTGGGTAGGGTAGAGGACACGCGGACTAAGGGGAGAAGAGGAACACAGCGACGAGGGGGAGGGGAGGGGGGAGAAGAAGAAAAAGAGGACGAGAAGGAGGTGAAGAGAAGAAGAAAAAGACGATGGGAGGGGCGGGGGGG